TTACTTCATATAATTCTTCTTGTTTATTTCCTAACTTTGTTATTTGCTGTTGCTTTTCTTTTTCTATCCTTGTTTTATCTTGGCCCTGCATTACACTATCTAGTTTTTTCTCAGGTTGCTCTCTCTTTGCCTTTTCTAGTATTTCTCTTGTTACTTGCAGAAGTGCTACTTCATTTGGGTCTTGCTTCGTAAGCATTGCAACAATGCTATCTTTACTGTCTGGTACTGTATGTGCTTTGCTTGCTTCATTGAAGAAAATCTTGTTGTGCACACTACTCATTGCCCAATATGCTCTTCTTATAAAGATTGCATTTAGGCTTTCTCTATACTCTTCTAACAAACTTCTATTCATACTATGCAGTTACTTTCTAGACAATTTGGATCATGTGTTTATCTGAATTAGACTAATTTAGTGCATGTGTTTGTTTGTTTACTTTATTAGTTGTGTCATACCCTTTTGTGTAACTTAAAGGATCTACACAATAGGGTTATCGATATTTCCCAAATTTTTGCAAAAAATTTCCTAGTTTTCGTCAAAGTTACTTTATACTTTGCCCTTTGCTGTTTTTATACACTCTTTTTTGTATCTTGGCTATATCTAGATGTAACTTTTGCTGTTCTACCTTTTTTGTTATAAGCTCAAGACTTGTCTTCTAGTGTATTTTTATGTTTTTATAACTTTTTGCTTTCTGTCGATTTTTGGTCAAGGGATCTATGAATGTAAGTTCAAAAAATTTTTATAAATATAATATTATAATAATATAAATTAGATTAAAAAAGTATATAATAAAATATTTAGTAATTACAAATTTTGTTGATAAATTTTTCTTGTTATTATTTAAAAAAAATTAAAGACTATATAACTAATAATATTAAATATAGTTAATTAAATAATATTAGATAGTAATATAAAACTTAAATATAATATTTTTTTTATAAAGTTCTATAAAGAATTTAATTGCTAAGTGCAAGATTCATGTCTTGGCATAGTATCCTAACTGCTTAAAGGCTTTTTATATAAAAGATGCCTGGCTTGAACCTTATTCTACAAGTAAATACAGTTTTTATTTTGTTTAAGAGTATCTAATTTTTAAAGAATAACTATAATTCAAAGTAAATATAAAAACATTTTTAGTAAACAAATAATTATAAAATAAAGTTTTATCTTATTAGTAAGTTTTTACTTTTATTTTTCTTATAAATCAGTTTTGTTTTCTTTTGTTAGTTTATTTTAATCTTTATTTTTGTTTTTTTTTTACTTAATTTAAATTTTTTGTTTTTCTTTTTTCTATAAAAAGATGTTTTTATATTAGTAGTATTCTATTGTAGAAAAAAGTTAAATTAGTTATGATTCTAGTTTTGTTTGTATTAGTATAACAGGTTAATTTAGATATTATTTAAATAGCTAAATAATAGCATATTTGATATTAAATAATATTTTGTAATAACATACATAGCTACAAATAGTTTAATAAAGTACTGTTATGATTGCTTAAAAAATATATAAATAAATTTTATATAAAAAA